TTTCGATTCCGGTGAAAAGGTGGTAAGATTTCGTCCGTCATATGACGGACATCCTCAGAGCAAGGTATCATGGTCACAACAAAATTCAAGCTGACGAAGTTTTCTTGACTCGTTAGTTTGAATTCGGTTGTGACGATGATACCTTGCTCTGATGATGTCCGACATATGAAGGACGAAATCTTAGCACCTTTTCACCGGAATCGAAGGAGATTACGTCTGAAACAGCGTCAACATGATTGTTCCAGTAAGGCCAATCGACAAGTGGTCGGGAGGAATCCACCGTTGCCTTCTACTGGGATCGACCTTCAAAGCTCTTCACCAAAAATTTTCACTCGAACTGAAAGTAAGCTCAACGAGTAGAGGTTATTTGCCAGAAGTGAGTAATTGCTCTGAAATTGTTATCTGATAGAGCCATCATCGAATGAAATGTCATAAAATGAGTTGACCTCGTAGTCGCAACTTGGTATTGTTGTCAGGGCGACTTAATAGAACGTACCAAGTCCGAAGTCGTCTGTCACAGTTGTCGTCATGATTTCCAGCATCAGACAGTGGACTTGGTACATTCTCATAGTCAGCATCATCAATCAGTTTTGCCAGTCGTCGCAACAAGCTACGAACTCGTCAAAGAGACAAGTGAAACGTTTTGAGAATGTATCAAGTCCACTGTCTGGTACACAAGGGCACACATTTTGACGAGTGGAATGTGAACAAGTGAGAAGTTGTGATGTGGCGACAGTGGGATTGGAGAGTAAAGAGTAGATAGATAAACCAGGACCGAAAGAGGAGTGAGAGTGTAACCGTTTTCAGCAGAACGTTTGTCGAGGGATTGACTTGACTTGTCTATTTGACGAGTTCGTAGGTTGGTACAGAGAATGACAAGAAAATGACTACGATACCGGCGAAACGTCTGAGAATGTACCAAGTTCATGATCTGAGGCTGGGAAGTATGATAACTACTATAGCAGAGGACTTCTAAAAAGGTGCGTTCTACTAAGTCGCTGTGACAACAAGACCAAGTTGTGACGACGAGGTGAACTCATTTTTATGACATTTCATTCGATGATGGCTTTATCAAATAACAATTTCAGAGCAATTACTCACTTCTGCCAAATAACCTCTACTCGTTGAGCTTACTTTCAGTTCGAGTGAAAGTTTTGGGTGAAGAGATTCGAAGGTCGAACCCAGTAGAAGGCAACGGTGGATTCCTCCCGACCACTTGTCGATTGACCTTACTGGAACAATCATGTTGACGCTGTTTTAGAAGTAATCTCCTTCAATTCCGGTGATGAGCTTTCGTCCGCCGTTTGACGAACATCATCTGATTAGTTGATGAGTTTTCTTGACTATCGTGCCGGCGAAACGTTTGAGAATTTACCAACTCGACTGTCTGATGCTGGGGGTCATGACAACTAATATGGCAGACGACTTCAGACTAGGTGCGTTCTAGTAAGTTGCCCTGGCAACAGGACCAAGTTGCGACAACGAGGTCAACCCATTTCTATAACTCGAAAGGAGACTGCGACCATACCAGAGGCAACAACATCTTGGTCTTCATATCTTCAATGAAATGTCATAAAAGTTTACTCATCTTTTCCCATCATTTTGTAAGGGGCGTAATTCAGGGCTCCCCATCTTGTCTCAAGCTATTATTCTTGATTAGACGGATGCTGTGCTCAATCAGGTCCGAAGAACTAAAGTTGACACATCCAGAAGCTTAATTTAGTCATTCTCTTGATTTGTCTGCAGGAAGTTTCGTAGCAAGCCAGCATTTTTTGGCTTCAGATAAGCACGCCTGGTCAACAGAGCAACTGTCTTGGTGATTATAGCATCCAAAATGGCATACATTTATTCTGTTCCATTTCCGGTGTCAACTAACTATAAATTCGGCGCTTTTTAATCAAAAATGTAAAAAATAGCTCAACTATTTCTGATGTGATATGTAGTAGTATCTCTGCCATCGTGAACTAACAAGCATAATTCTGGTGACGGTAATGAGCTTTCTGTCTGAAATCAGAAAGTTCACTTTATTAATTATTATTATTCTCTGAGCTTTATTGATAAAACTATTTTGTCAGTATGAAATAAAAGTTCGGACGAAGAACATTTCGGATGAGCTAGTGAGACTAAAAGCTTTCTGGCTTTTTGATTTAAACAACTCTAAACTGTTCCTTAAGTGATATCAAACAGTATCATTACGCTTATACTATAAAGCTCCCTATATTAATTATTCTTATTATTATTACCCGAGCTTTATTAACGAAACCAATTGTTTCGTGTGAGATAAAATTTTGGCCGCCGAATATTTCGCACAGGGAAGTGAGTCTGAACGCCATTTTGGGCTTTAAAGTAGAATTTTTTTTAATATCTAAACTATTTCTGACATAATATCATATGGAAGTATAATGAATGTGTACTAGCAAGCATACTTCTGATAATGTGGATTAACTCCATGTTATAAATTAGGTAGCTCAAAAACCATCAAAACCATCAGTTCAATATGAAATGTAATTTTAGACGTAGAATATTTTGTTCGAGATGGGGAGTTTGAATC